TCATTTTGATTTGTTATTGCTGTTCCCAAATATTTTAAGTCTGTCACACTTTTAAATGCTAAATGGTTGGTACTGGTTTAAAATTATCTTGACGATCATGATAATGCAGTAACATCGACAAAGACCGATCTGTCTGAGATATGAGGTTCTCATAGTGAAGGTTTTAATTATGGTATTCTGGGTTATGACACCATCTAGTCTTATAGATGGGAACCGATGTTTTCGAGAAATACTTAACGTATTGATTAGACTTCCAGAAGTCAAAAGGTTGGGAAAAAAAGTTTTTATTGTGACATTGACTTTGTTGGTCTACTGCTTTTTAATATCTTTTTACCTACGTGTTCAGTATTACATCTGATATTTTCATATCGTCAACAGTAGCCGCTCTATTTTAGCAGTTTCGTACAATAAAAATGCTTAGATATGTTTAAGGATTGAAATGTATTTGAATATGAATTTACGAACGAGCGGAGCGCAATTTATCGAAATACTGCGACTACTCAGTTTTGATGTTTGGATTCTGTGACAAGCAGATGACGTACCGTACGCTACTCGTGGAAGCTCCTGCCCGAAGGAGACTTTACTCGGCATATTTGGAATGCAGACAGCATGCGAATCGAGTTCTTAGAAATATAAATTAAAGTGCGAAGTCTGTAATTAAATTAATAATTTTTGTGGATGCTGAAGGAAATGTTTCGCGTAGATGAAACAGAGGGAAGACACAAATAAGGGAACACATATGTAAAATAAAATTGGAAGAAATTCTCAAGTCATCGTACATCCTTGGAATGATGAAAGATTGAACGTAGTGGACTGTGGCATCAGGTAATCAGTTGACTGAACCATGATGTCTCCTTGCTTTCGGAAAATGAAATTAAGCGTATCTTATTTGGTCTTATCAAAGTAATTAAAATAAATATTAGATAAATAAATATGATGACAGTGTGGCAAATAGGTTGGCGTCCGCTTGTGCGTGTTGAGACGTGCGTGCCCTGTGCACACGATTAATGGAATTGTTTAATTACCATTAGAGTGGCACGTGTGTTGGGACCTCGAGAGCGTACGGCACGAATGATTTTAAACTTTCGGAATAGATCCTATTGAGCAACGTGGTAACATGAGATTTCTCCAGATGTTGAGAAAATTTTAAGGGAAACAGTTTCGGATGTTTTATATTGTGTGTATGGCGAACAGACGGATTGCTAGTCCAAGTTGTTTAATGGACGTCACAGGTTCAAGGACAGTTTTGAACTATTGGAAGATGGCTTAAGGTCTTTTGCTTCGATCGTCAGCCGATTGCAGTAAGGGTTTGAATTTCGGATGATGATTACTCGTTCAGTAGATGGATCATGTCTGCTTATGCATCCTACTAAGATAGTTGACTGTTGACTCAGGAATGTGCGATGATTCCGCGAGGCTTATCAGCGTAGCCGATTAATAAAGGTGACACAACCTGCAGTTTCTTTTTATTATCCTCAAACTGAACAACGGTACTCCGTGTGGTAGCCGCCGTCATTGAGGAAATGAAGTGAGGGGAAAATATATTGGAACAGAAATAAATACAGCAGGAAAGAATGAAAATGGAGATGACAGAAGGACAGATTATGATGCGAGTTTTGTTTTTTTCTATTCAGGACAAACTGGAAGAACTGTAATAATTTGCGGTTACAAGATACTAGTAAGCTTATTAATTATTACCTTATATTACGCAGTTCTTTAAAGTTGAAAGTTGTTTTTATACTTTTAATATATTCATGTAATTGTGATTCTTACGGATGTGAATAATTTTCAGAATTGGAGATTTTCTTGGTTACAACCCAGAGGAACTACTTGGGAAATCCGTGTACGAATATCACCATGCATTGGACAGTGAGGCTGTTGAAAAAGGCTTCAAAAGCTGTGAGTAGACATGTTTATCGTATACTTTGTAGTATCTCCTCACCAACCACGGTTTTGAGAATATATAGTTATCGGATTGTTTGCGGTTTACCGGTCGCATTTTTTAAACTTGAGCGTTCGTAGTTCTTTACACAGCCACTTCCCAGTTTTGCAGACTTTTTCGTGATGAACGGAGTTTGCAGGGTAGTGATTATCTGCCAACCGTATCTCTTTTGCTTTGGCGTACTCCTCGTCACATTCATTTGTTCTTGCTCTTGGAGTATCTGTTTAACGTACATCTTAAAACTTTATGAGCGCAAATGATGAGGTGCGATGTCCGCTGAAGCTAAGAGTTCCTGCACAATAGAAAGCGGACAGACTTAAATTACGTAACCGAACGGCCCCTTCCCCGATTGCCGGTCCGTCATAGACCCTGGCTGTTACCGAACTTTTGGTTTTGTCAACTTGGATCGAATCAGGAAAATATTGTCCGTGGTTGAAAGGGGACTACACTTTAAGTCTGAGAATGTCTGTAATTGCTGTTTGTGTCTGACAGAGTGTCTGACGCGTGAATTCGATAACAACGTACGTATGTCACTACATGCGAGAAGCGTGAACAGGAAGTGCCGTAGACTGATACCGTATAAGGTAGATTAGATATTTAAAGTTAAAGTTGAAAAGCAGCGGCAATGAAGCATTTCCTGTTCTGAGACAATTCAGAATATAAATCGCATTAGATGAATATTTATATATACTGTCTACCTTTAGACACGTTTTAATTAGCCTCACTAATTTCATGGATGTACTGAATTTAGCGAGTGTTGTGTAGTACTTCGTTCCTAAACGGATCACGGTCTTTCGTGAAATCCGCGTGTAGCCGGCACACCGTAACCGTCCCGTTATACTTCCAATATCCGAGGTAACGGCGCTCGCGGTAATCTTAACCGAGGCAGCTGTTGGAAAACATGGAATAGCGACTCTTTTATTAGATCGGTTAAAATTACGAAAGGCTTACTGGCACCGTCAACGCAAGCGTGTTACTCCTGATACGAATTTGGCAGCAGCTGGCGAAATGGACGCCACTCATGATATGGACACGCGTTTACATCTGGTTATTCTCACCAGTCATATTCATTTTGAAACCAAAATCTTGGTTTCACGTCTTTCAACAATTCTTCAAGTGTTTTGGGCTTCCTTTCACGTTGTAGCTGTGTCATCATGTCTTAATGATTTTAGCCCTCTGCTTACGTAATTTTCTTTCATATGACCCATGGGGTTCTAAGTGGTACTTGTGTCAGATGCTCGTCTGTCTCGCAGGTCATTAGGTTTGTATCATTGAGAGATGTTTATGCCGGTTTTAATTTAGCTCTTCTCTACGCGTCGTCGTTATATCTGAAGCACTGAACTGCCATCTGCATAGCACAGGGGCTCAGTTTCAATTAAATGACTGCCCTTTGTGGGATGTGTTGTATACCGAATGGTTCCGTTAGGTATGTACCCTCCTCCTCCCTGCAAATCATTATTCTGCCGATGTCTTGTCTTGTCTGCCAAATTGGCACTGTAGTATCGTAGTTCATGGTCCGGCTTCTCCGCCAATTCAACACTCGAATGACGAGGTCACGGTGATGTCTTAATGTCTAAATTCAGATACCTGCGTTTGCAAGTGTTCCACAGATTTATTTCCTTGTTACTCAGTTATATGCTTTAAGATAAATTAATATGATAAGTTATCATTTTATCTTTTACAGTCCTGCAGTTTTATCTTTCAAACTAAGTTACAAAATCCTTCATGAGAAGCTAATAGACACTCAGGTCACCAATAAATTTACTGCGTTTTATGACGCTTGAAAGTTCTTTACCGTGATCTTGGTTCCATATACAGGTAAACCTCGATTTGCACCGCTTCAATTTGCGCCGATTCAGAATAACGCCGCTTTTGAAACCAGCAAGTCAAAGAGTGAAAAAAACATATTTTACTAATATTTATAACGTTTTACAATGTTTCTCGTACTGATTCTTATACTAAATCGTAATTCTTACATCGCTGATTTTGGATCAAAATTATAAATACATTCACCTCTGCACTCATTGCTAAGTAGTTGCATAGGTCTATTGTGTTAGAAGATAAGATGGACGTAATTCGTAGACTAGAAGGTGGTGATACCCGTCGAAATGTGTGCAGAGGTATGAAGTTGCCTCCTTCCACTGAGACCACCATAATGAAAAATTCATATAAAATAAAACAGTCGATGCAACAGGCTACGAGAGTAAGTGCAACGCAAGTGAGTTATAGCAGAAGTAAACTTTTAGAAAGAATGGAGGAACTACTGTCGCTATGGATGGATGACACGAATCTAAAAAACATTCCCTTGACTCAAATTGCTATCACGGATAAGGCGAAGTCAATTTTTGAGGAACTTAAGTCATCAATGTTTGGGTGCCGGGAACGCATGTCATTGACTTCCCATTGATTTACATTATAAAAAGAGTTTCGATTTACGCCGATTCCATTTACGCCGATTCCATTTACGCCGGTTCCATTTATGCCGATTCAATTTACGCCGATTTCATTTATGGGGGTTCGTCCAGCAAGGCATCCCCGGCGTAAATCGAGGTTTACCTGTACTAACATTTAACTTGGGTTGGTTATTTTAACGTACGACATACTGGATTTCTTATGGCCTTTTTATAGACGAAGTGTTTTGTACATTGTGAAGACTGCCAGAGCATATGATGATTATTGCCTCGCATTAGTGCGTCATTTATTCCCTGGCCAGATTGACCCTCTTGCGGCAATAAAGGATGTTAATCTGAGATGTATGCAACCAGAGACAGAAGTGTTTGTGACCAGTAAAGTGGCCAATAATAATCCTCAAAAGGTTAAGTGAAGTTCGGCTGCGGTTTAATTTGTTGATTGTGTTGACAGTCGCGTGTAACCAGTGCGGTTTGCAGCGACTTTAAATGTCTTTACCAGAGAGTGGTCTTAAGTCCACAATATCAGGAGATACGTGAATCTAATCTGTGCAGCGGAATTGGCAGTATGAGCTCTTATTCTTGATTTTCCTCATTCGTATCAGCAGTGATGCCAGTGTTTTGAAGTGGCTTAATTCCCTCTCTCTTATCAGGTAATCTCTCACCGTCTTCCCCTGTCTTGTTTGGAGCTGAATAAACTCTGTAGTTGATGCACTGTCATTGAAATAAAATATCAGCTGATACAAATTCATTTATGTAGCGAGTGAGTGCAAGATCACATCTCAGCGTGTACAAGGCCTTTCTTTGAAAGCAAACCTCCGAAGTGATTCAATGGACGTTACTTAACGATGCTTACATCAAAAATAAATGTTGGAATTTGTACATAAACCTTATATTCTTACAGCTCTGTTTGCGAACCCTTGCTTATTTTTATGTTGAATTTAAATTATTTGAAAAGGAAATTGCTGTTCGCTTGTTTTATATTTCTGAAATGTTGTTGTACCAATAGGATCAGGGAGGCAGTGGAAAGAAACAGAACGAGACTTTTAATGTCATGTGCCAAGTAAATTTCGTGTTTTAGTATTGGTAACACACTTGTTTTTTTTTCCCGACAATTAACACTTGCGTTTATAGAAGCAAATAAACATCGAATTTTAGTGTTTCATTCCAAAAATATTAAAAAAAGTGAAGACTGGCGTAAGGGACATATGTAGTGTTGTGATGTGCAGTAGTGAAACGGCTGTTAAGTTAGGTTAGGTTGTTTCCAGCATCAGAGGTAATGTTCTTGTGTTGGTAGGCACGTAGTCTTATTAATTCTCTTTAAGGATTCTGTTGTAAGATCCGGATTCTTATTTGTAGTGTATTTAAAGGAGGGTAAATGATTCGGGCAAAGTTACGAGCCGTTGTGGACGCGGTGGTCGGAATCAGAAATCGAAACCCTGTCTTCTGTCCCATAACCCGGGAGCATCACTGTTGTGGCTTATATGCGCATGCGCGGTAACATGAAATTATATGTAGCTGTCACACAAGCTGCTACGCGTGGGTTTCTTGGGTCATACCCCCCTCCCCGTTTGCAAGGGGTAGTTGGTGGGGGTCTGAAAAGGGCTCAGGGGGGGGGGGTTGGAGGGCGACGACCCCCAGTTTGTAGCACGTGGCATCCCTCGCGGGGAAAATACAACTTTACTGCTTAGTGTCCGCTCCAGATTTGGAGATTTCTTTTACGACCGCGTCCTCAATTTCGCTGTAGACAATCCAATCTTCTGGTACGATTTGAGTGGAGAGATTCACTGAATTCAACCGAGATCAAACTTAAAAGCTGAATGCCGGTGGTGTGCAGCCTGCAACCCGCAAACCCTCGCAACTCTTTTACGCTGCAGGTCATTCGATAACACGAAGTGTCTGTATCTTGTGTGCCTTCTTGGAGAGGTAAGCTCGTGGTAAGACAGCGCGAACAAACAATTTTAACGTCGAATGCATTGTTTAATTAACAGAATTAATCCAATTTTGTAGGCCTAATTAACCTTCACCATTGCTTTTAGCGTAGATTATGTTTCATCCCCTTAAAGTGATGGTTTATTTAATAAGTATGCAAGACATTAGTTAGAGATAATAATTTTGTTAACAGTGTTTTGTGTTGCTAATAATTTTGTTAACAGTGTTTTGTGCTGGAATTTATTTATTTTTATTTAGTGTTCTGTCTGACGACAGGTCCATATGAACAGGATCCTTCCATCCTTTTCTCGGACTGGGACCTGTTCATATACGTTCTTGGCAGATGATCCAGAAGTGGTTTGCCATTGCCTTCTGCTGTGTGTGAATGGAGTAATTGTTGGGATACCACGGAGGGGGGGGGGGGGGTTGTTAGAAATAGGATTAACATTTTGCGTAAGAGCTATCAATCGCGGTTTGGATACGTTCGAATTTGATTACAGAAATGGCGGATGGGTCTAAAAGTTTTTAACAGTAAACTTCCTCAGAATTTGATGTAAATACACGTCGTTCGGAAATGCTCCAAACGCCATTAAACAGTAGTAACGTGAAATAGCCTC